CCTCTGGCGGGGCTCTGAGGAGCCGGTCCCCGCCCGTGGTTGGGGGGGTGGGCTAGGTGGCCTTTGGAGGTCCCTTCCCACCGAGACCACCGCTCTGCGGCTTTTAACGTCGTGTATTGATTGAGGGCCTGCGGTCTTAGCGGGTCTCCTGGCGAGGCGCAGCCCCTCAGGTACCGCAAGCGGCCTCTGCTCCCGTAGCTGCGGGGCAGGCCCGCGGGGGCTCCGGGCGAGGCGCAGCCCCTCAGGTACCGCAAGCGGCCTCTGCTCCCGTAGCTGCGGGGCAGGCCTGCGTGCAGCTGGCGCCGCTGGCTGTCTCGGAGCTGTGTGGAGGCCCAAGCATGGCAAAAGAGTGTCCATTCGCTGCATGGGGAAAGAAAAGTAATTTTCTGAAAATTACTGCATGCTTCCTTGAAATAGGCACCCTCACTGAAATTCTTAATTGGAGCGCTGTGTTTTTCTGCTTGCTAAGTGCTTGAAATGAAGCGAGTTCTGCTGTTCTGTGACTTCAGTGGGGTTATATCTAAGCACTCGGTAAATCTGCTGAAAGTAGTTTGTATTTCTCATCTGTTTTTTTTTGTGGGGGGATGTTTTCCTTTTTGTAGAAGATCATGATGGCCCGAAGGATTTTTAGAATACGTGTGCTGTTCTGCTTTCTGGCTGCATTCTTCATCTCTGCCCTAGCTGAGGAACACGTAGGAGAGAGTCAACATGCAAATATTCGCCTTGATAAGAACTTGGTACAAGATAAAGAGTATGTGTTCAGTGTTCTAAAAATGTAAACTTTACTTTTTAATGATTTGCTTATCTCTGAAGTCTGGTTACATGAGCTGGACTTAAGCCTAGGGCACCCTCTTTTCTCAGGATGTTGTCTGACTAGCTAGACTCAGATATGAGACATGTTTGCTTGATAAGTTTGTGGAGATACGACACCTAGAAAGGTGTCTCTGCAGCCTTCAGCCCTACTTCTACTATACAGAATTTCTTATAGCAATCCTGCTTACCTAGATCAGCATACTTTAGACAAAATCATATTCTGAACAGGTAGAGTGAGAGGTTTTTTCTGATTTGCTTCGTCATCTAGAGAAAACAGTGGCAGCAGCAAATGAAACTCCCTAGAATACTTCATGTTTGACTGGGAAAGATCTTCCTCCAGTTCCTGTGCTTTGGAAGACAGCCAAAAGGAGATTTTTGGGCACTGCTTCAGCTGTTTTGATAACATACTAAGTGGACTGGAAGAAATAGAAATAGCTGTCTAAGGTATCAGAGGCCACTGCAGCACCTGTAACAAACAACCTTTGTGCCCGTTTCATCTTAGTATAAAACTGTAGCTTTTGGTTCTCCTGGTTGTCCAGGGTGCTTTTAGAGGTACAGTATTTCCCGTGTGCTTGACTGTCTGATCAAAGACTAAATGTGATGTAAACAGAGCATTAAATATTAACTGACAGATACGTTGTGGGTTTTGGGTTTTTTTTTCTTAGCCACATCATGGAACATTTGGAAGGTGTTATTGAGAAACCAGAATCTGAGATGTCTCCACAGGAACTGCAGCTTCACTATTTCAAAATGCATGATTATGATGGCAATAATTTGTTAGATGGGTTGGAGCTTGCTACTGCTATATCACATGTCCACAAAGAGGTAGGTGGAATTTTGTAACGGCCTGCATGTTTGGAAACAGTTCTGACTGTCTAAAAGTTGTCACCTAGTACGGGGTGATACTAAGAATTTACTGACTTTAAGCCTGATATGTTTCACTACTCTGTTACTGTCAAGCTCTGCATTTGCAAGTTCTGACACACAGGAAGATGTTTCTGTACTGTATAGAAACTATAGTGTCTGTACTACATGAAGATCCAAATGAAGAACACATCTGATTATTATTCATCGTTATACACTGCTGTTTAGCTCTCAGAACTTCTGGCTAAGAATATTAACTGGATACAGAGTGCTTGTTCTGAAGTCCAGAGAAATTGGACTTCATACCGTGCGCCTGGTAAAAGTTTCTTATATTGGTATAAATGATTACATAAAGCTTAGTGCCAAATTAGGCACCAAACATGAACAGCTTAACAGAAAATCTGGTGTCGGTAATCTGTCATGTGTGCCTTTAGATGGTAAACATTGCTGAACTGTTCAATGTGGTTTTGTTTTTCTAGGAAGGTGGTGAGCATACCCAGGCAATGAAAGAAGAAGAGCTGATTAGTCTGATAGATGATGTCTTAAGAGATGATGATAAAAACAATGATGGATACATTGACTATGCAGAATTTGCAAAATCATTGGAATAAGGTTTTGTAGGGGGCTTGTTTCTCATTCTAACTATATGGAAATGTGAACCAGTATAATGTGATACATCACTGTCTTGTATCAACCTCTGTGCTGTGAGAAGCAGGGGTGCACCGGCTCCAGCTGAATTTATTTGAAAGTTGTGTGTGTTGAGAGACTGGCCAGCTCCGGGCAAGAGTCGTGTTTGACTAAACGTAGCTCCCCATTTGAATCTTGAAGCATGGAAGCATTGACAGTACTCACATAAGGTGCAGCTGGCAAACTCTGCAGTAGTTGTGTATGAGTACTAAATAGATCATATACAATCTAAATTCCAGATTTTCTGTCATTGGATTGTGTAGTACTTGTTTGCTTACGTCTTCTGTTTAAACTTATGAAATACCTAGAAAGGAAGAAGTGTTTAGTGCATACAGTTGTATTTCAAGGAGAAGTGCCCTTCCCACTAATTTCAAAGGCAACTTGCATGTAAGTACACATGCTTGAAACAGCAATTGTAGAGGAAAAGCGTTTGAATGTGGTTTATGTTTGAGGTCCGTATGATACCCTATGGACTTCAACACCGTCTTTGAAGAAATTGAGTATGTTTAAATATGTATACTTCCTAGCATACCTTTACATTTTACATATATATATACACATGTGTTTTTCAATTTATTCTTGTCCTTCACAGATTTAATTTTTATATCTTAATCTACTGGGTTTTTTCCTCTACCTTCAGTGGTGATTTCTTAAGAAAATGAAAGTATTTTTATTACATTTAGATGTTGTATGAATGCTCTATGGCATTTACTAGGGTAGCTTCTGCTATCGTTTCGAAGGTCACGTTGAGAGTAAACCAGTTGAGTATAAAAGCTTCTGTTCAATTTGTTTTTTACAGTATTAGCCAGCAGGATAATCTAAGTGAGCAAGTAATGCTGCCTTGTTAAGGTTAAAGTTCATATTCCTTGACACTTAAATTATGATATTACTTCCAGGTGGTATTTCATAACTAACAGTTTCAAGATACTTGAGTGCAAATTAACATGATTCTAGGAGTGTTTTCACAGTCTTGACTCAATACTTGATAAATCAAGCAGTTTAAGGATATTAGAGAAGTGATGTATTGCTGCATTATTGATATTTGGTGACTAAAACAACTGAAATCTTAAATTGCATTCAATCATTATCCATTAATAGAGAATCTAAATGTTAGCATATTTCTGTAAAATGTATAAAGAGCTATTTTCTGTACAAAATTATTCTTATACAAGAGAAACACATTTGTAAAAGAAATTATTTCCTCTGTTTAAATGTTTGTGCAGTGAATTCTCAGTGTCGTACTTTTTTCTTGTACTAATTATTTGTTTTAATACCTTTGTGGCCAGGGTTGTGCAGGTTGTAGAAGCAATAAAAATGATTTGAGGCTTATGCACTCTGGAGCTAGACACACAAGGCTGGAAGTCCTGGTGAGAAATGCAGTTGGTTTTCTGACATATTTTTAAGCCCATCTCTGTTACGAGCAGTCGTCTTAAAAGAAAGTTCTTCTTTCAGTTAAAGCATTTTTCAAGGATGTCTTTTGAGGGTAATTAATCTGAAGTGAATTTTGAATCAGAAGAAAGTATAGAAAATGCTTGCTGGTTGGAGGGGAGAAGAGGTTAAACTCATCAGCTTTGAGCACTTAAAGCAGGTTGCCTGTAGACCTGCCAACTCTTAGGTGCTTATTGCATAAGCTTCTGAGTTTTGGATTTATTTGGAATGAAAGAGCAAGGCCAAGGAACTGACTTTTATGCACTGTTCTTAAAAATGATGATTTTCTTATCAAGTGCTGTCTGTAAGCATAGTCCAGCAATGACCTGTGGGGCACATTTATAGGCATATGTTGTATTTATATACATATTTATTAACTGCTATTGCGTGTGGCAAAAGACATGCACCATAGAAGCTTTATATCAGAAATTATTATGAAAAATGCAGGTAATGTGAACATTGTTTACCGGCTATTTTAAACTTGCTTTTAAGGGTTCAGAAGTATGTATAAACAGAAAAAATATTTACCGAAAATGGAGAACAAAATTGGCATGTTTGATTTCATAATGCATCAAAGATCAAAACAAAATTTCTGCTTTCCTAGAAAGAATAGTTCAAGAAATGCTACCCAAGCTGAAACCTGCAGCATCATGTTGTTACTCAGCCTCCTAAAACAAATACACGTGCTTAATGAAGTGCACTTAAAGATAAATGGTTTAATGGCTGTCTAGGGAGCTTTCTCAGTTACTAAGTAGAAAAGAGCAAAATTGCTGAGAGCCAATGGTGAGTCAGACTTTTTTTTTTTTTTAATATATTTAATTTGTATGCTAGTTGTAGTTCATGCAGTACCTTAACTGTACTGGTACAGGTCATATATCCATACACTATTTTCTATTTCATATATAATTCTTATATATATTCTACATTTATATATATTTTTTCTATTTCATATATATAATATAGAAAATATGGCCTTTACAACAGAAGTACAAATCAACTATAAAGCTGTTTCAGCTTCCGTAGAACAGTACTATCTCCATTTCACAGGTAAGATAAATAAAGCAGGAAGGGTGTGTGATTTACTGAAGGTCAGTCACATCCCTGACAGAAACAGAAAACCAGGAGAATGCTGTTGTGTGTGACATTCACCGCTTCCTAGTCTATGATCTCAAGGGATGGGGGTTAGTTTTCGAATTAGAGGAGAACACTTCTGACCCTGCATTACTGCATACTATGTGCTCAGTTTAAAGTATCTAAATTATCTGCTTTTACCTCACAAAATATTGCATACTCTAGTAGCTAAAGAAAATATTTAAAATTGTTCTTGAAGCACTCCTAAACTGAGCTGGTTTTTATTAGTCCATCTAGAACACAGTCTGCATATGAAGGAAAAAAATCTCAACTGCTTGTCCAGTGCCCGTCAGAATGCTGTTAATGACAAGAATGACTGCCTAGAATTTCCCAGCAACAGTTTTGTCTGCACATTCACGCAAACTTTACTTACCTTTTCACCTATAACCTCAAAATGTCTTAGATTCATCAAGGAATGGTTACAGAGTTATAAATCCTGATTTTGTCCAAAGTGGTTTTTAATACTAAATTCACAAGCAGAACAGGAAATCAGGAGTAGTGTCATAATCAAGACAGCCACTAGATAGCGTGTTGACACTGCACATTGGTTCCCTGCGGTGCTTCAACAACCTGGATTTCACCAAACCATCGCCACTACTCTCATGATAGGCAAGGCTTGCTCCTCTCTCTTCCAGCACCACATTGGCAGTATGATGCCTACATTTTTACTAGTTTACACCTGTCATAAAAATTGACCATAGCTGGGACTGGTTACTGATAATTACTTTTTGTTGTTTAGGGAATCCAAATTGACTTGAAGTGATAGTAAAGAAAATTGCGTTGTAATATTGTCAGTAAAAATAACTGTGTAACAGGAAGGCTTTCTACTATAAGCACCAGGCTTGGCCTGACTTCATGACCATCTCTAGCTGACCTACAGTGGTCTCAACCAACATTAAAGAACATGGGAGGGTTTTAGTAGGACCTGAAGTCTTACTGGTTTTGCATTAGATGTCAGTAAGAGCTTCTGTCACTGTTCTTACAAGGCATAGGTCCAGTGTGGCCTGGTCATCCATTTTTGCGTAAGGTGGAGCTTACTGCTTTTTTCTTCCTCTCTCCCATTACAGTCTCGCTGTCTGCCTGTTGCACCATGAAGCAGCTACATAATGGTCTAATTTTATAGTAAACAAATTAGAGCAAGGATCATTGCATACCTTAGTCTGGATTATTTATTATCACAAAGAATTTGTGTTCTAAACGCTTCATCAGCGCAGATCTTCTGTCCATGTTGAGTGAGACCCATTATAAGGGCAGTTATTCATGCCTCATGGAAGGCTTCTCTGAAGTTGCATTTTTTTTCCCATTCTTCGTGCTAAATTGTGAACAGCATCCTAAATCTTAAGGGCCATATACACTGTAGTTGTCATCAGCTGAGCAGCAGTTTTACATGTAGGTAGAGGGCAGTGTAACATACGACTCGAAGTCTACTGCCCGGTACGACATTTTACACGAAAGCAGTACTGCAGCGAACATAGTGTCAGCTTCTGCCACTTGAGCCGAGTGACTGACAGCACTAGATTCCAAGAAGACAGATGTCAGTAAACTCAGAGAATGGGTAGAGAAGATCTCGTAAGAAGCAAATCTAAGGGAAAAACAAATTACAAAGAGCTGTCAGTCCCTTCAAGAAATGCTAATAAAAACCCAAGTGCAACCTGCGCCAGTTTAGAGGAAAGTAAGGAAATTCAGCAGAAGTCAGCTAATCTGCTACCTTTTAATTGACCACAAGTATATGAGGGATATATCTGTAAAGCAGAAACTAGGTCAGCTGGTTGAGAACCCAGCACAATACTGCATTCATGGAGGGACTGGGCGGGTACATACAATTAGTAAAGACAAAATGCACAAGATGCAACTAGCAACGCTTACCAAAAGTAAAAGAAGTTTACAAGTAAGGTTGTAAGAAAAAAACAAAGGGAAGTTTGGACCACTACTCAGATATGGGGGGGTACTGTCAGCAGAGAATGTTAAGAAAGCTAAAGAGTTTAATGTCCTTTTTTTCTCCCTTTTTCATCAAACTTTACTAAAAAGGTCAACAGCAAGCAGACAGTGGAATTATTACCAGGAAAAAGGGGTAAAATTTCAGCCCAAAATATGGAAAACCTGCTGAGAGAGTAACCAGTTAAGTTAGATGTTTTCAGTTGCCTGAACCTGATCAACTTCACTCTAGGAGTCTTAAAGGGAGGGTGAAGTAATGGCCACAGATGTCATATAACTTGAATTTATTTATTTTATTTGATTTTTGCAAGGCCTTTAGCAGTACTTCCTATAATATCCTCATGAACAGGCTAGTGAACTGTGATCTAAAGAAACTGCTGTGGGAAGGGGCAGGAGGTCAAGTTTGTTTGGATAATTGTATCCACAGGGTAATTTCATCCTAACCTATCAAAATACACGTGCTTTGCAAGGAATTCTGTGGGCCTTGGTCTCATATCAAGTTTTATTTAATGTTTTCATTGAAGGCATCAAAGATGGAATATGAAGTATG